AAAAACGTGGTTCTGACTGGTTTCTCCCCCATTCGATGTGGGCTTCCTAATGACAGCCCCGCCCAGTCAGCGTTATGACGCCGTCACTCGCGACTCTAGCTATATCTTTAGTTAATTTACTATATCGTTGTACTTCCTGCTCGTGTGCTGCCGAATCCGGCGACTTTCATATACATGCAGTTTGTATGCTGCGCTATTATAAGTCTGCTAATTCTCATACAGCTTCTCTTTTTTTAGAAAATAACGTCTACCCGCTTGTTTGATTTATTATCACTATTAATGAGTGTTATTATTATTATTGCTTGAACGAAAGACAATGCAGTGGGTTGCGTATCTGACTCCGCTTCTATCGGGGTCATTATTAGAGTGTTAATGGTAACTATGCGGTTATCGTGAGAAATTTGCCATTACTTTTAATAGGGGTGGATTTAATTCTTACATGAGTTATAATAATAGAATTCCGTCAACTTACTGGTATCGACTGGAATGAAAGTAACGCTATCTCTTTGCTGTCTAACTATTGGTCTGTAGTTAAAGCCAATGTTTTTTTCATTTTCATGCCTACTCTAAGCGCATCTAGAGCTGCTGCGGCACTAGCATATTCGATTTCACTTAAGACACTCGGTTGCAAAGAAAATCATTCTACTTACAGGATTTTACGGGATTTCGCAGCGAAGAAGGAGACCATCCCTATTAGACCAAGTGAAACCTGAAACATTTTTGCTCGGGAAATGAAAAAAATACTGAATTCGAGGCAGATCCAGTAGGGAAAAAAGTAGATAACTCTTGAGTATGAAGAAAGATTATAATCAGGAAATGGCATTTGATGTAGAAGGAAGTAGTAGTAAGACACATGTCTATATATTATATAATAGAGCAGAGCCGAGAATGGTCGTCGAAGTCGAGCACTTGAGTCGAGGATCTAGTACTACACGTTACAGCACTGATCTATATCGATTTATACGACTTCATCTTCTGACATAGAACAAAGCTTGAATAGGGAAATAATATCATGCTCGGGCTTTGATTATTTGTCGAATCTAAGTAAAAAAAAAAGTATAATATGTTATGATGTGATGGCTCAAAGAAATCGTGTCATTTTTATCTTATTCTGAAGAGAAATTATAGATGTGAAAATACAAATTCTAGGATTGGGGTAAATATAGATTATGCTGACGTTGCCTGCATCGATTTTAATGCGGCATTTTTCGTAGTTATAAAACAAGTATATATGTATAGGGATATTGACTCATCATAATCTATATGTATGATTACTAGCAGGCGATATTCTCGTGGAATATCACTAATAACATGTTGCAACAGTAAAGATGTGCTGTCTGTGACAACAATGTGCTAGTAAAACTTTTCTGCGCAATGCAAACTCACGACTCAGCTATTGTCGTGGAATGCAGTTTTCCATCTGATGTGATGTATTTTAGCCCTAGTGCTAACCATGACACGACAATTTATACGGTGGAATATATGTGGAGAATTCGGACCCGTCGTATACCGTAAATTACTATACTACTACAAAACGAAAGTATGTTATGATTATTAATAGTATTTCCTCCTTGGTATGCGGTGAAATCGTATAGACATTGAAAACGATACTCTGAGGGTTAGGTGAGTAGGTTGGGTTTTCTTATTTTCGTTGCTTTTCTCGAACGCGTCGACATTTCTCTTTCCCCGGTTATTATGCGTGTCACGCTTCTTTTTCTCCACTTTGGACTTGGTCATCATGGGCGTCTTATCTCAATCGTTGTTTGTCTCAGTGCTGTTCAAATGCAATAATTCCTTGTCTCTTTCCCCCAATCTCTACTTGGGAACCCTGAACCTTACTTAGCACTCTTATATATACCACTCACCGGATCCCTTGCTGCCATCTCGCTCTCTATTTCTCTCGCTCTCTCTCTCTCTCTCTCTCTCTCTCTCTCTCTCTCCATCTCTCTCCTCTCTCTCTGCTCTCCTCTCGCATCGTCTGCTCTCTCTCTCTGCCTCTCGCGCTCTTTCTGCCTCTCTCTTCTCCTGCTCTCTCTCTCTCTCTCTCGTTCTCTCTCTATTCGCCCTCTCTCTCTCTCCACCTTCTCTCTCTCTCTCTTCGGCTCTCTCTCTCTCTCTCTCTCTCTCTCTCTCTCTCTGCCTCTCGCTCTCTCTCGCTGGCTTTCTCTCTCTTTCGCTCTCTCCCTCTCCCTCTCTCTATCTATCTATTTCTTTCGCTCTCTACTTATTTACCTGCCTATCCCTATCTCTATCTCTGCCTTTTGTACTTTCCCCCTTACACTCGATCTTGCACACTCGATTCATGCTTATCATTAACGGCACTCATCTTTTACCAATCTTCAATCTGCCTCTGGAGTCTAGTTGGTGTAGGTTTCGCATTAAAGGCTATAGACTGTGTGGGCTGTTGAGTAGAGTAGAGTAGAGCACTACATATCCGAATTCTTTCTATCACATGAGCGGGCGTTCTCTCGACGATTCCCCTAATGCCTGTTCAATGCTATATAGCTATTGC